CTGCAGACACACACACACACACACACACACTCACACACTCTCACACACACACACACACACACACACTCCAGACGTATGGCTGCTGCAGACACACACACACACACACACACACTCACACACTCTCACACACACACACACACACACACACTCCAGACGTATGGCTGCTGCAGACACACACACACACACACACACACACACACAACAGCAGTGCGATGAGAGACTATGTTCAATAACCACATACATGCAATACTAATAGTAATAACAATCAAAATAAACACTGTCTCTGCCAAATAATATAGTCCATTAGTCTGCATGTGGGAAAATGTTTTTTTAATAAAAAATAGTCACATTATTGTATTATTCCTTGTAAAAATAGCATGTTTAAATAAAATAAAAAATCTACCAAATATACCAAGTTCAGTTCACCAAAAACAACGCAATCAATGGACAACACGCATTTTCTGATTTACGAACTATTGCAATTTAAAACAACAGTTTTCTATGTGAATATGTTGTAAAAGTTCATTTTAAAATGTTCAACATCATTACTCCAGTCTACAGTGTCACATGATCTTCAGAAATCAGTATAATATGCTGATTTGCCGCTTAAGAAACATTTCTGTGTTTTTTTTCAATGTTGAAAACAGTTGTGCTGATGAATGTTTTTTGTGGAAAACGTGATACATTTTATTTTTCAGGATTCTTTGATGAATAGAAAGTTCAAAGTAGCAGCATTTATTTGAAAGAGAAATATTGTGTAACATTTTTTGTAACATTATATATAGATATATATATAGGGTATTAAAAAAGTAAAAAAAGTTGTCAATCAAATGCTAGTATTTTGGTTGCTGTTGTTTTGATGAATGAGTTTATGAAGATGTGAATGTGAAAGTGTTACTCTGAGAAATGGCCAGAGGATGAATCCAGTCTGGCGCTCTGAAAACTTCAAGAACAACCAACTAATCATGAAGAAACTGCCAATCAACCGAAACCATGGAAACAGACGGGAGGACTGGAAGTGTTGATATGAGCAGGAGGCGGCGAGAGAAAGCAGGAGAAAAGCTGAAACGTAGAGAGCGAAAGCGAGAGGAAGAAGAGTGACAGACAGAGGTGGAAGAAGAGCGGGAGCTGCAGCAGCGTGTTTGATGCGTGTGCTGTGTTTGTGTTGTTAGTGCTCACGCTGAGCGTCGCTCGTCTGCTGCACTTCCACACGCTTACTAACAGCCACAGAGAAAAACACCACACCCGGGTTACCAGAACAAGCTGTTAAACATGTAGAGACGAGGGCTTATTTGCTCTGTAGAAAATGGGCAATGCGTCGCTACGCGGTTGCTAGGATGTTCTTGGTTAAGAGCAGATCTCTGAAATGAAAACCAGGGATGTTTTCTAGTTCAGTGGTCAAAATATCTCTGAAAACTCATGTGCTAATATCTATGAATTAAAAACAAGGAAAATATATATATTTTTTGTTTTTGGCCAAATAATAATGACAATTTATTATTATTAGTAGTATTATTATTAGTTGTGTTAGCAGGTCAAACTGACCCTTACTGGTTATAATAAAAATGTACCAATAATCACACTATGAAAAACAGTGTTATAACAAAATTATGACTTGTATTATGACTTGTAAAAAAATCCATTATATAAAACTAAATAAATATATGTGAAATAAACATATGACAAATAATACTTTTTTTTTACTTTTTCTAATTGTATTACATTTTTATTTTCACAAACTGAATATACTGTATACAGTAATTATGATGTTATTTCATATTTGTGCTTTTGGAAACAGGTCTGTACTTTTCCTAATTAGGCTTGATATTTTGGCATTTCAGGTTAATTTTTAAGCATGAAGTCTGTGCTTTCTGCAAATGTAAATGTTTAGTTGATTCATTTATTTATTCATATTTGGTGTGTGAGAGAATTATGTTCAGGAATGTTTAAAATACATTCAAAACAACCCAGCATGCTGTTCAGGCCTTATTATGCATTACAACTATGGAAGCTTGTTTCAGCTACAGAGAGTAAGTAAGTAAATAAAAAATAAAAAAATAATGTAATTTATGTAAAAAAAAAATTGTGATTCCGACCTTTTTGCAAGAAATAAACACAGCATTGCATGGGGGGGTTGTCAGAATTGAGATAAAACGTTGCAATTACATTATTTATCTTTTTTAATTTTGTGCTGGAAACAAAATAAGGAAATTGCAAAATGCAAACTTAGAATTGCGAGAAAGAAAGTCAGACTTCTGAGTTTATATCACACAGTTATTCTCTGAATTGTGGGGGAAAACAAAGTATTAATTGCAATACAAACTCACTTCTGAGAAAGAAAAGTCAGAATTGCAAGAAAAAAGTTTGAATTGCACGATAAACGTGAGAAACTCAGAATTGCAAGATGTAAACTAAGTAAGTCAGACTTTGAGTTTCTATCTTGCAATTCTGACTTTTTGCATTTTGAGTCTATATCTCAGTTTTTCTCAGAATTGTGAGGAAAAAGTCCGATTGGTGAGATATAAAGTGAAAATTGCGAATTGCATAAAATATTTGAAGGTTTTTTATGGTTTTATCTTTACTTGTAGTATACCAGTTAACCATAGAAATATCTGACAAATAAGCATATTTAAAATATGAAGAAATGTTGTTGATATGCAACGGAAAGTTAAAAAAACAAACAAAAAAAAACATGTAAAATATGTGATACTTATTAAAATACTACACTCTATAAGGTAAAGAAAAAAAATTATAGATTTTTTTTTTTTTAAATGTTAAATGGAAGGTTTGGTTTATAAAGTACAGAGCACAATAATAATAATAATAATAATAATAATAATAATACATTTTAAAATGGTGAAATGGAAAGTTTGCTTTATGAATTACATATAAATCACTAACCAAACTGCTATTTTCATCAAAATAATTGCTCATCCATAAACACAGAAACATGTTGTTTTCCACAGTACTAGTGCAATTATTAAAGATGAAAGCAAGCAAATAAATAAATAAATACATTCTGATTTTATGAAGAATGGCTGCTCCAAAACACAATATGGCTTTAAATGAGTATTCAACTGCAAAAAGCTGCAAACATGCACACATGGT